CCAAAGTTGCCAACCCTGCATTTTATTTGAAATGAGAAGTAAAATGCAGATTTCGACTGAAGCAGCTTGTCATTCCTTTGTTACTCAGACAAATACAAAACAAATGAATAAACATTATATGAGTCTTTTTGTATCATTTCTAAGTAATAAGACCACACGCCCATTCCCAACTGTAATAGCGATTAAAGCGATCTATTCTTTTAGTATTTATGTTAAAGCAAGGCTTTTGTTTTATTACTGTAATTAAGATTAATTTCACAAGATTAATCTTTGGAAATACTTAAATGAATGAGCACAAAACCATATGACATAAACACGACTGTATTATGGGTTTTATGGCTTTTTGTGTGGTCACAGACTCCGCTGCTGTGAGGATTACTGACTATCTCGTTGTTTCGATGGGTTAGCGGTATGCTAATCCTATTGCCCATTCACAAAAGCCAAAGGTATGATACGCTGAAGTATGTCGCTGCTGGTGTTTAAAAGGAGCTCGTCGGTTCTATTGATGATAGGACCTCTTGGACCATGAAATAGGAAGGCAATTCACTTATAGCTCAGTAGCGGAATCAGTATTTTTTCTGCACCACAAATGCATAATTTTCCTTGGGTTTCACGCGTTTGCTGTTTGTGGGCCTATACCCAGTCTTCTTGGGCCACTTCTGATTGGTGAGCATGACCGGCATGCGAGAAGCACGGCGCTTGTGATTGGTGAGAATGACTGTCACACAGGGAGCACAGCATGACTTTGTAAAACTATTCTCAAAAGAGTTTTAAACCCTGGGTCCAACGTGGTGTATAATATACATCCCAAATCGCAGCCTTTGCGATTTGCTAATCGCGTTCTTTCAAATCGGAATTTTGATTTGAAATCGATAAATCGTCCAGCCCAAGTTGAGTTTAACATAGTGATTTCCCTTTAAAGATGTTTGGAGAACATGCAGACTTTCCCCAGACAAGGATGGAGTTGAATCCAGAATAGTGGAATGGGTAACATACCAGTTGCCTCATTGTTTTGTCAGCTGTAAAATTATCTGCAGTAATCTGAATTTAGACGCACCTCTAATGCAGATTTCCATTACTTCTACTTGCAAGCCTGTAATTTCTTTAATGTAATTTTGACCACTGTTAATCTGTCTGTTGCGGAAAATAACTGCTGAAGTTATAGAGCTTGTGGCCATAATGTCAACAAAACGGCAAAGATGAGTAGATGCTGTTTATGGGCCTGCATTCCATTATATGGTAACTGGGAAGTGAAACAAGAATAACGTCAGATTGTTTCAGATTCTTGGCTGGGGGGGGGGCTCTTCCAAACAGTGGGCTAATGCAGTGCCCTCTATTGCCCCTAGAGCTGTCCTGGAAGTCACATGATAGAGTATGATATTCAGGATGGCTAACTTGGTTAAATTACTCCGCTTTTGCACGATTGGTTCATGGGAAATCATTCCTGAGACCCTGGACAAAAGTTTAGGCAGCACTGAGGATAAGTAGCTGCCGATGCAACTGAGTGGTTCACGTCCGGTAATGATGTACCCCGGGCAGTCATACGTACTTTTAGTTAAATTTCCTGCTCTGGAATTACCAGCTGTGAGACTTTCTGTGGTTCATAATGTCTGCTAAGCAGTTTCTCAATAAAGCATCGCATTTTGATAGAAAGCACATGCCCTCCAGTAGCATGGCAGTGGGGTTTCCCAGCTGCATATGAGACCGGTGCTGTGTCATTGTAAATAAACAGCAGGCTGAATTCACTGGTGTCCAGTGTCAGTAATGTGAGAGTCACCCTCAGGGGCTCTGTCCCGTTATGCCTTTTTGATCGCCCCATGCTCCTCCCGGCAGCGCTCCGCTAGCTTTAGATTCCCTGCCATTCAATTTGACTGGTGCTCAGAGCAGTGGGCTGTGTACTCTCCCTCACTCGTCTAACTCTTACCCTTATTTATTATTAATTTATTTATCTAGCACTGGCCCCCAACCCCCGGCTGTACCTCCTGTCCTCTGGCTTGTAGCTTGACAGTTGCAGGACCCAAAGGGATTGATCTGGCATCATTCTTAGTCTTGGGGAGTGATCAGGGGTGGGGTGATATTGGCTGGGAGTAGGACCTGGAGACTGCGGTTACTTTGGCTCCGTCTCCCTCGCTTGCTCGGTCTCTCAGCCTTGGACGTGAGCGTGCCGGCTCCAAAATCTGCCAAACCCCTGAGTGTCAGCAAAAGGGATTCTGTGCTAGCCGACAGGGTGCCGCCCACTGTGCACAGAGCGTGTTTTGGGGGCCAGCCATCCATCGCGAGCCCAACTCAAGGCGGAGAAGCGACCGGTACGTTGACATCCATCAGTCTGTGTCCTTTCAAGCCTTTTTTTTTAATGCTTGTTCTGCACACTGAGTTCAAGGAGGCGGCTTGTAGAAACGGGCCGGCACTTTTATTTATTGAAGTGGTGCAGCAGGAACAGGGGAGGGGGCGGGTGCACTGGTCAGGGGATGGGGGTGGTGGCGGGGCATGGACATTGGGGTACAGGGGGACAGCACGGCGTGGACGGGTTGGGAGACGGGGCGCATCGGAGGATGGGGTGGCGGCATATGCTGGAGTAATGCTGGAGTAATGCTGGAGTAATGCTGGAGCAGAGGCAACAGCTGCTTTGGATTTTCCATCCAGTTGATTCATGCTGCTGTGCTGCTTGTGAAGAGGATTAGGGCCACCGTGAAAATATAATTTGAATTCTGACTTTAATCTCAGAATTCTGACTTTAATCTCAGAATTCTGACTTTTTTTCTTAACTCAGAATTCTGAGAAAAAAGTCAGAATTCTGACATTAAAGTCAGAATTCAAATAATATTTTCACGGTGGCCCTAATCCTCTTCCGTATCTCTGTTAATTTTCGAAAACACACAGTAGCCGAGTGCTTCAGGAAGCAGTAGGCTTTGTGGGAAGCGCTTATCATGCACTGAAACCGAAATGTTCTCGCTGCTCGTTGTGCAGTTCGCTGACACCTTCGGGTTTGGGGGTGAGACTTTTATATATTACATTGTGGAAACATTTGGTAAAGTGTTATTTTGACACTTCTTCTGTTCCCATGAGACTAAGTCTTGTATTTAGTTTGGTTACTTATGGTTAAGGTTTGGGCTGGGTAGGGGTTAAGGTTGTCATGTCTGGGATTAGGGTTATACTCATAGAAATGAGTGGGGAGTCCTGACAGTGACAAAGGGCTCCAGGGCTAGTCAGGGCTCCAAACTAACCTTTTCCACTAATAGCACTGGTGCTAAAATTTAGATGCACCTCTTAGATCAACATGTATATGTACACAACACATTCATTTTTTAATTTTTATTACTGATAAGTGCTTTGGTAATAAACATACAATTTACAGAAATAAAATTTAATCAGTGTAGTAGTGCTTTAAGAGAAATAAAAACTTTAAGTTAAATTGTGGGTTTTTTTTAACGTATAAAACAAAGTTCATTTCATTGTGACTGGAGTAGAGAGGGTGACTGGAGTAGAGAACTATCTCCCTTACACACACACACACACACACACACACACACACACACACACACACACACACACACACACACACACACCAAAAGGGTTGGGTATAATGTAGATTTTATCGATTCCAAATCTGATTGAGCTCATGAAATTCAGTTCTTATTGAATCTTGGTTCCTTTTATAATACAGTAAAAGAAATTGTCAATATTTTTAATAAACACTGCATTTATTCTCTTTAAAAAATTTAACTTTTGCAGTAACAGTTACTTGAAGCAGTTATTTCCATATTTTGTCAAAACAAAAACACATTTTAAGATTAAGAAGATAGTAAATACAAATGAAAAAAATATATGCCGAAAAAGTGTTGTTTATTAGGCTACTAGAAACATACATAATGTACTCTTCCACCTTTTTTATACATCTTGTTTTAAGCATTTTGCAGTTCAATTTGAATACATTCCAAGCGAGGATACACACGTATATATAATATATAATATTAATGCTTAAAATGTCCCACAATTTTTCTGTTGTGAAAAGTAAAATACAGTGGTACCTCAGAACTCGAACTTAATCCATTCAGAACTCCGGATCGAATCCTAAAACATTCGAGTTCTGATAGAATTTTCTCCATAAGAAATAATGGAAAACCAATTAATTGGTTCCTGCCCCCAAAAAGTTACACCTCAATATGTTTTTTTAGCATTTAAACACAAAATGAACCGGATAAAACAAGAAGAGCATATACTGTACTAAACACATCTAAACACATTTTTCAAAACAGTAATTTGTAAAGTAAGAAAATAAATGTATCCAAACAATGTGTCTTGCCCCGATTGTCCGCTCCTTCCGTGTGCCACGCCCCCTCGTTAACCCCGTGTGGAATCCCCGTGTGATCAGCTGTTTCTGGTTGTTGTCATTAGTCCTCTGTATTTAGTCCGCGTTTCAGTTTGTTTCCCCAGTCCGGTCATTGTATTGTCCGTCTGCGTTTTGCCTGCCTTACCTGTAATTAAACCCTGTATTCCCGGATACCCTGACGTCTGCGCCTTTGTCTCCGTTCCGTCCCCGCTCGGCATGACACTATTAATATAATTAAATGTATTAATGTTTTAATATTAATATAAAAAAATGAACAAGAAATCTTTATTGTTAAGGGTATTTTATTATATAATAATAGTTACTGTTACTGTCTATCATTGTCTAAATGTATTTTTACTGTCTAAATATAAGTATTCAGCTTGTGTAAACATGCACGATGCTATCACAGCGAATGCGAGGCTCAGACTGAAGCTTTACCCTTCGTTTCCGCTGAGAGACGTGCCCCGTGACTCATTTCCCCGCGCGTACAAGTTATCTTAGGTCGGCGTTCATGGTTTGACTTCTGAGATTCAGATCGAGCTCTAGGTAATTTTTTTTTCAAACTGGTTGGTTCGACTTTTAAGAAATTCGAGTTCTAATGAGCTCGAGAATTGAGGTACCACTGTACTTTTAATAACACTTATTATCTGTGTTTGTTTGTGTGTTACAGGCCACACAGAACGCGACTGTGACATGTGGACCCCGTGGTGTTAAAACCTGATCAGAAACAAGAGCTGCTGTTGGTGCCATCATCAGAGGCCTCTCTGTACCTCGACCGCCGTAGAACACGCCGTAGAACAGGAAGGCCCGCATGCAGACCAGCTCTGCACCTCTCACTGGATCCTTATAGGCAGCTGCTGATCTTCCCTGGTGCTCCATCAGCATAGCATGGCCTAGTGGGAGCAGATTCTGCTGGATTGGGTTCCCGTGACAGACTGTAGCCATCCTGCTTCATGCACGCTCCATGCTCACAGCTCCTCCTGCAGGCTTGCTGAGCGTAACAAACTGCGGGCCCAGCGATGCTGTCCAGAATGAAGCTGTACCTGTGTGCCGTGCTCTGCTGCATCCTGCTGGTCATAATCGCCACACACATCATGCAGAGGGGAGCTCTCTCACCTGTGCTGGCTGCCAATGCCACCACCGCGGCCTGGAACAGGATCTGCGGCTGCTCGTCTTGCGTGGGGGAGACCGACAACTCGGAGTGGTTCAAAGAGCACTTTGACCCTGAGCAGCAGCCCTTCCTCATGCCAAATGGCAATATCACCCCGCCGGCCTTGAGCTGGTGGCTGGTGAGTAGCATTATTACCGTCCATGTATAAATAGATAATGGAAACGCAACTGCAGCAAGAAGGGAAATGAAATTTTGTGCAATGTGGAATCTTCTGCCGTTTATGTTCACATGTTTTTGTTAAATTGTTACATGCATTACTCTGGACTTTGACAAACCTTAATATAAATCAGATGTACTGTACCTGTCACGTTTCGCCGGTAGGCGAACCAGGAAGCAGGCGAGCTGAGCCAAACTTACAGGTAGAAGGGAGTTTATTCAGCGAAAGACAGACAGGCACGGACATCTACGGCCAATACAATGCCGAATCTGGCATACATGGGGAGACGCGGACTCATATACACAGGACAAGGCAAAAGAAACAGGAAACAGCTGGGCACAATCGGGGAAGCACACGTGGATAATGAGGGGGCGTGGCACACATCGGGATCGGACGGAGCGGATCGTGACAGTACCTATGACCACTGTTATCTGCTGAGTAGCTAACGAGCACCAAAGGTCAACATTAAATGCATTACTGACTCTCATAATAATAAGTATAGTGTTGGATATACAGGCAGTATTCTCACAGACGATGCTATTCATCCCTCACATAAACTGCAGGAAAAAAAAAATTCTGGAGATTTTTCAGTATTAGTTTTTAAAATTATTATTATTATTATTATTATTTATTGCTTTTAAACAATCCGTTGAATGACAATTTTATGTAACATGTTTATGTTGCCTAATGAGAAATTTAGTAGCCGATACAAATACCAGTGAAATTCCACAAATCTCGGAACCCAGTTCAGTACCACTGTGAAAAACAACAATAAATCCCATGTACTTCAAGATATACTCCTTTATTAAAAACAGTACCAAAAAAAACAGTGGCATGTAACCTTCAAGTATGTAAAACAACACTGTGCTTAAAATACAAACAATCAACTTTTTATGGCACAGTATTACAATTGCAGTACCTGACTGAGACACAAAAACTTATGGAAGTAATATATAAAGTAAAATTAAACGACATTACAAGGATAGTATGGCACACTCATACAGAATTACTTTCTAAAAATAGGATATTAAGCTGAAAATAGAAAGCAGAAGAAAAAACAACCAATGACAGGTAGGTTATTTACACATACAGTTTTCAAGATGGGCCACGGGAAAAACAAAGGTGACAGTGATTGCATCACCAATTGCAATAAAGCTTAAAATCAAATGTACTGTAGGTTGGTAACTTTGAAAAAACGCTGCCAGGAGGGTCACCAGGCTACACAAAATGTTTTTAATAACAAAACAAACCACTAAATCATTTATGGCAGAGCGAAACATTACAGTAAAAGTACAATTTATCCGTGTAACACTTTCAGAAATCGGTTTGTGATCTGTTAACATTTTGTAACTGTCAGGATTTAAACCAGACCATGTTTATGAATGTATTTCAGGTGAGTAATAAGCGTTTTATTTTGGGTAACGACATGGAGTATCAGTTCTCATGGCCTACTAGTGTGTGTGTGTGTGTGTGTGTGTGTGTGTGTGTGAAATTCATATTCAGTCTGCTGGAAACATGCAATAGTCCAGACTTCATCAAAATTCATCCAAGTGCCCTGTCCCTTGTTTAATCTGAGACTAAAATTGAAAAAACATTCATTCTCTAATTCAATTAGGAGGGTTGCATGCTGAAAATAGCTGCTGTTCTGCTGTATTATTATTATTTTAGCTAGCAGTTTCATATCAGGGGATGCTTGTTCTTGAATGCACAAAGTGCAGGCATACAGTAGTCATGACGACCACCGCAGAGTGGATTTTCTCAGTGTGGCTTTTCTGGCTCAATTATACTTATTGACTTGCTGTTGAGCGGAGCTTTAGTGTCTGGCTGACTGCGTCTCATTTAATTAAGGAGATGAGGCCGTCGCTCAGAGCATCTCGTTTGCGTGTCTGCTGACTCCACCATTACCCCGCGCCCCAGTTCCTGTGTGCACAGACCTGCGTCGGGGCTCACATTTGGAGCTGCATAATTTATAGGCCTGCGATGAAGCATTTAGCTACAGAGGTGAAACCGCACCACTTCACGCGTTACACATGAACGACAACATTCAGCTGCGGAAACAAGCACATGTAGAAAGTACCAGGCAGAAATAAGACAGTTTATTTATAAAATAAACATATAAGGTTAAAGTATTTATTCACATGCATTTTCTATTTTCAAAATGAAGTTGTACACAAGGAATTTATATGTAAATGGTTGTGTAATATAGTGTGTTTGGTAGGGTAAATGGTTTAACATTAAATATGCATATTTCTAACTTATTTTGGTAACATCTGTACAATTAGGGCACTTTTCCACCACACCAGGTACTGTACTTTTGGTACTTCAAGGTGTTGGTTTTCTACTGGTGTAAAAACTGGTACCAGCGCCGAAAGACATCACAACGTGAGGCAGGGTATTTTGTACTTAAATCGAAAAATGGCTGTACTATATTATATTGCTGGATGATGTGCGATATTAATACCAACATCGCATGCTATGCCATGCAATTTTTACATTGCTAGTCAGCTAGGTTAAGATCAGGCATTTTCTTATCTTCAGTTCTGTATATGGAAATTATAGCACATTTTTATTCTTTCATAGAAATAAATCCTTATCTAGCTTTTGCAATTTGAATTATTTCTTTTATAGACCAAACTGATTTTTAAAGAGATTAGATAAAGTTTACCTCTTCCTCTTCTGCTTTTGCATAAGCACTGCATGCATTCTCCAAGACAGTCATAATCATTTTCATCCTTGCTGTTTTAAAGCACTTCTAGAGTTGTGAGAAATATATGAACTCCTTTTTGCTTTATAAATACCCTAATACTTATTACAACAAAATCACATTGCTAGGACAGCACACTATATGCGGAATATGCTATATGCATGTTGTCCTAGTATATTAAACAAAATACTTAAAAAAAATTCTTGTCATGCAATTCTGATCTTTTTGTTATATCTGTTCTCCTAATAAGATCACTATATATTTTTTAAAAATTCATTTACTACTGCTTTCAAGGTGGCATTTGTATTGTGTTTCAGCAGCAGGATAATTGCATAACCAATCTTCATGCAGTGGAAAAACACCCTAAATGAGTTATACTCAATTATACTTGTTATACTAAGAGGCTCATTCAGCCAGACTACAGTGTAATTGTTATGGTCCCAGAACCAAATGCAGTACCTGTCTCTACTGGTCATTCCTCAGCATGCATAACTGACACATAAAGACGTACAGTCATGATACTAGGATGACTTGAAGTACAGTGGATGCATCATGAGGCCTTTGATCTTTTAGGTGAATCTTAAAAACCAATGAGTATTTAACGCATATGTGCCAGTAGGTTTACCATACAATATAATAGATTAAAATAGAATAATTTTGTCATTGTACATGTACAGTGAAACTATATTGTCAAGCATATGTTTAAATAGCTACATACTAGGGCTGTAAAGGTCCACACATTTGTCGTGTATCATTCGATTATATCATTTTCGCTTTGGTAAGCACAATAAAATGAATGAATTTCTTGACACAGGCAGAGCCTAAATCCATAAGTAGATGTTCATCATGGAAAACATTAATGCTAATTAAAGCTATGAATTGGTTATGCCTAAAGCTGTTTACAGTCAGTCAACCAACAGTTTGGGAACATTTTGGTTTCCCAATAAATATCACCAACAGCAGACAGAACAAGTAGATAATTCTGCCTCTGTTATACTGAACTGAGTTATGTTGTTGCAAACACATCTAGCCCTCTAACTCATTTGAGGTGACATCATCTAAATGTGTGTATGACCAAAGGGCAGAAACAGCCTCTGCAAGTTAGTCTGCCTGTGGTATTTAATGTCCTTTCACCAGGAAATTCTGACCGGGATAAAAAGTAACTAAGGCTATATGGGTGTTTACCTCTATAAATATGCAATCATACATGGTAGTAAAACAAGATTTAGGTCATTATGAACGTTACTATGCAGTTTTATTTTTTAATTCTTGTTTACATATTTTTACAATGTACAGGTAATTATCCCTAGGTTTCCTTATTTAAACGCATCAACATCAGACATATTGCCTTTGGTTTATAACTGTTCTTGATTTTGGTTGTGTCTGCAGTTTTAGTAATAAATACTTTCAAAATGAATTCAGAATTCCCCTGCTGTACTGAAAAGGAACTGAAACTGAAGTTTGTACCAAACTGTGACTTTTGTCTACCATTACACCCCTAGTACATCCACAGCATACGTGGGTAGTTGAGGTTTACGTTATTTGTCAAGGGTTGGGATTCAGGCCAGATATGGTTGCTGATGCTTTTAAACAATATAACTGCAGCCCGACACAAACTACTGAACAGTGAAACTGCCGGTGGGGATGGCTATAATATTCAAAGCAGAAGTCCTTGAACTTAGATCCTCTCACAAGTAGCGTCCATATTCTTTGTTATGCTAGGCAAGGTCTCATCTTGATGATCAAGAGAAGATGGAGCAGGCCCACCACGGTCTTCTGTAAACCTTTTCCAGATGTTATAAAGTATCATTTAAATCTTCCCTGGGTGGAATAACCTGCAATAAGTGGCAGTTTGATTACTGAAATTTTCCCAAAGTGATAGGGATCTTTTAAGACCTCTCTGCCTCGGGGTTTGCTCTCTGGCTCAGCAGCTTTCAATTTAACGTAATTACAGGCCTTTGGGTCTGTATGGCAGGGACACAATTAGGCCGCCAATTTGGGTAGGAGACCTTTCCTGAGAATGCTGTCTGTCTACAATGTGGAACACCGTCACTGAAGCTTCAGAACAGCATAAAATAGGAACAAAAGGCACTCCATTCATAAATGTTATGTTTACATAGAATTATTTATCAGAAGCTTTTATCTTAAGTGATGTACAGTGGATATAAGAAATTTACACACCCCTGTTAAAATGCCAGGTTTTTATGATGTAAAAAAAGAGGCCACAGTAAATCATTTCAGAACTTTTCCCACTTTTAATGTGACCTATAACCTGACGAATCTGCTACGGGGGAAAATATATTAAAAAAAATACATTAAGCTGGTTGCATAAGTGTGCACACCCTTAAACTAAGGCTTTGTTGAAGTACCAGTTGATTTGAATTAGGGCTGCAGCTAACGATTATTTTAGTAATCGAATATTCTGTCGATTATTCCATCGATTAATCGAGTAATTGGATAAGAAATACTATTGTCTTATTAAAGAGCAATAGTAACTATTCAAAAAAGAAAAAATAGACAGGTCTCTTAGGTTTCCTTTTTAGGAACATTTTTAATGATTGAACTCCATACAACAACTGACAAAATAACTAAATCCTTTTAGTGCATTTATGTACATATTTGTTTTTTTTTTTTTTTAATGAAACACTTTCTTAAATGCAGAAATAAATAAAATAATGTAAAATAAAATAACTGAAAAAGTAATAATAATAATTCAGTTTCTCAGAGTTTTACTGGCCCAAGGCTGTTGAGGGAGGGGGGGTGGGTAATTTGTATATTATTATGTTTATATTATATTATTTATATTATTATGCAATATTATTCATATTAATCTAAATCTGCAAAATAATATTACTAAAGCCTTGAAATAGATCTAGTTGAGTACACCCCATGCTCCCCTTTAGACTCACCCCTGCGTGCTGCAAGTATGGAGTCAGAATAGTGCCATATGTACTTGTATGTGTACTTTCCAATTTGCAGCCGTAAAAAGAAATTTGCTCACACTGAACACAATTTTCATTCGCGAAAAAAAATATTTTGCAAATACAAGTCAATATTTTTTGTAAATGCGAAACCAAACATCTTCATAAAAATATTATTTACAAAGATAGAATGATTTTCAAGTACAAAACCTGTATTGGCAATCCAAGTCCTCTTGCAAATACCAACCTGCGAGTGCAAATTCACACTTGCGCATATAAATAATTTTGGCACTAATTTGCCGCAAATATCTTTTTACGGCTGCAAATTGGAAATTACACATACAAGTACATATGGCACTATTCTGACTCCATATGCAAGTATCACTGCGACAAAGTGTGACGGCTGCTGTCAGCCTGCTGTAAGTTGCCAAATTTAAATATTGTGTCAAACTAAGCTAACAGTTTATCTGCATACAAACAGCTTCTATTTTAACTTGTATAGCTTTACTGTAGCCTTGCTGCTGTGGAAGACAAACAGCGGTGGATGGGAGCAGCTGAAAACATCGCTTTTCTTCACCTTTCAGCTTGTTGAACAGCTAGTTTAATTAAGGACTCTCGCCAGCTCTTTACCAGTAAAGGTTTAGTAGCAATTACAAGCACTGCTGTTGTTTTCCTTCATTCCACCTGAGTTCACCATCTCTGTGATGGAACCGTCTCTTTGCTTTTTGCTGTTGTAGTGTATAAACAGGCTCCAGCTCCATGTTAATTAAACTACGACAGCATCATTTTCACTGCTGTTGTGTTATCAGTGTTTTTGTTGAGGAAAAATAGGGGCTGCTTGGGCTGAATCTTGCTATACTTTTTTTATTCACACATATGGCCATACAGTAAATATGTTTCTATCGCAGGTCTATTTTTAGCCGCAAATGTGAGTGAAACGCTCGCGCTTACCTTGTATTGGTTCCGGTCTGTGGACTGGGTGCTTTCCGTTGAGATGTTGAATCATTGACGTTGTGCTATTGTGGTAATTAAGCTAATTCGGTTTTACAATGGACGCACTGTACAGTATTTTTGCTTTTCTTCTTTTTGAAATGGTCCCAAACTTTAGACATTTTTCATCTTTTTCTCTGACTTTCCTCGCTATTTTCCTTGTCTTCCTCCATTGTGCCATCAAATCTATCCTGATACACGTAATGCAGCGTAAGCACACTGTGTGACAGTAATAATCCTCCGAGTGAAACACGGTGATCACTAAGCGGTACATAGTCGTGCGGTTTACACGAAGCATCGAAGCAAATAATTTGCATTGTGGATTTTTTGTAATCGAGTTATTTGAGTTCCTCGATGAATCGTTGCAGCATTAGATTGAATTACAGCATTCATTTTTTGGGTAGGAGTCTATCTGCATGCCACATCTTGACTTGGTAGTCAAGTCAAGTCCTTGCAATCTGTCAGATTGTGGGGGCATCTCTTGTACACAGCCCTCTTCAGGTTACCCCACAGATTTTCAGTTGGACGTACGTCTGGGCTCTGGCTGGGCCATTCCAGAACTCCAGTTTTCTTCTGGTGAAGCCATTCTTCTGTTGATTTGAATGTATGGAACTGTTCATCATTCCCTGGGATGTTTTTTTTTTTTTTTTTGGCAAAATTTAGCTGGGCCTGGATCAGGCACGTGCAGAGGGTGGGGCGGAGGGTGCTTGAGCACCCGCCCCTTTCCTCCAGGATGCCTCAAGTGCCCTTTTCTTGGGTTTTTTTTGTTGTTGTTGTTGTTGTGGTTGTTTTTTTTTTGTTTTTTTTTTAATGTGTATGTGCGTATGGAGCCCTGTCTTTGCCCCTCAACAATAAAATGTAACTATTAATCTCAATTTTGCTAAATAAAAGGATCTG